GTGGTCGATGGACCCTAAGATTGATTGTTTCTTTGCATCACGAGCGCTTGTGATTACATGAGAATTATTCTAGGCTGCTTGTTTTTTTTTGCCGCATCTATTTGAATATCACCATGACGCACCTAGGGTCCAGCGATCCTCCGATCGTACGGAGTACACGACACACAAATGCTTCTTAGCATCTTCACCATCCACACCGTTGACCTCACCTTGGAGTCCAAAATCTCGCAAACGGGAATGCTAAACACCTCGTGTGGACAGGATGCCATGAATACACACAGCTGGACTTACGGTAACCACCTCCATTGCCCGCCGATGCTATGAATCCCACAGCCAAGCACACCACTTGCGTTGCAAAAGTGCACGAGTGGCAAACTTTTATACAGCCTCTGGTGACGAGTTATGCAGTAGTACCCAGCTCTGTTTCACAGCAGTCCATTAGCACCAGTTGTTTCTGCACAGCACACAACTCAAGATGCAGAAATTCCGGATTTTCTGCTCCTTCTTTTTATTTTTTGCTAACATTATCGAGCAGATCGTGCCGACCCGACAGCCGACAACCGATAATCGTCAGCGATCGATTAGTCAATCGCTGGCCTCTCTCTCACACCCTCTACTCAGGTACCAAGTGTTGGACTTTGTTCCCGAACGAGACATGGCACGCATGGTCGTCTTCAAGCACCATCAAGCATCAGAGTCAAGGTAACATCTGAAGATGTTGCTCTCCCCCACCACAACAGCCAGTAATTCCACACCAAAGTTGGCTGGGGGGGCATTGGGCATCTACGACACACGCATGCGGTCCCATTTCCATTTCAACCCAACCCAATTAGTTAATCTTGATGAGTCCCGTGATGCTCTCAACTGGCTCCTCCGTTCCATCCCGTCCCGTCCCTCAGGGGCCTCTAACGATGCTCTCAAGCAGGAAAGTATCGCTTGCTCTGGTCCGATTGGCATAATGGTACGCGATTGCAGCGCGGGAGGGAGCGCTCTCTCCACTCACACGTGGAAGGGTGATGGTGCTCTTGACTAATGTCAGTGATTCTCCCAACGTTCCAGCAATTCAGAGCTCTCAGACCGCGGGAAGCGGGGAGATGGGACGACGGGAGTGAGGAGGGGTGGAGGAGGCCCAAGTTGGTGGTGAACGCGGAGGGAGCATTCACTCCCCTTGCCCATACCCCTTTCTTTCCACACACCCGTCCGCTGTTGCATACATTGAAGCGCGGTATACCCGCCTGGGCAACGGCATGTCGTTCTTGGCAAGTCGTCTGGCAGTTGAGTGGGGGGGTTGCCCGGCACGGGATGTTTATATCAAGAGTCTCTTGCTGAGTCTGTGTGGGCCCTACCTTATGTACAAATCGTATGTAATTCTAGTTCTGGGTGTGGTTACCAGGAAAATGCCAAAGCCTCATCTAGATAAGCTGTTGTCACTGTTTTGGTTTGATGGCTAGTGTCACACACCCAGCTTCGAACAACAAGTGCAAACCTGGATCTAGGATTATCATCTGAGTACTATTGTTCGGCCATGCAAGGCAAGATGCAATAGATATCTTGTCATTAATGATACGAACTTGGAAAGGTTTAATAACTCAGATCTGTCAGCCTAGTGGTAGATGGCAATGGCAATATGACAGCCGCACTCTTCACCGTATTCTCATCTGGTGGTACAGCGTCCCGATCTGATATTCAGGCACCGTTCCCCCTACTCCCTTGCCTCGTCTGCATCATGCCCGAGTGGCGAACTTCAGACTGACCCAAGGTCAAAAAGCAAAAAGTCAACATGCCTAATGCGTGGAAGAGCATATGCAGTCATCCTGTCCCAGCCACAGAGAGATGGAATACAGCATGCAGAGGCAGTGTTTGGCAAAGTTACAGAACCACACAGCATCCGCACACATATTTACAACCAACTGGGCAAGATTCAGGCAAGAGCATACTCACCGCCGGCACATGGAGTTGTAAAAACTCCTCACGACCGGTCAAGCCTGGTGCTTGGCCGAGGTTTCATCTCTTGGATTTTGGCTGTCTGATATTGGACAGACTTCTGGTAACGCATGCCAACGCAACCGCGGGGAGGGGGTAGCCGTCAGTATTCTTGGAAGCCGTTCACCTGGAAGTTGATCAGGAGATGTGCCCAACTGAGGTTATCCTATCCCCTCACTTTCCGAACACGACATCGATCTTGACGATACGGGGGCTTGCTCTACCTCATGCCTCCCTACTGAGAGTACCAAGACAGGAGCCGATGGCAGATCTCGGTCCGCGGCAAGCGATGACCGAAGAAGGACTGCATACTTGTACCCAAATAGGCCAACAACCGAAGGACGATCTAGTGCCAAGCTCAGGAGGGCAACCCACGGCCAACTTGTCTCTAGAAGGCAGGTAGCCACCGCCATCGCAAAGTCATGCCAGTTTAATCACAGAAAGGGGAAATAGTTACCGTAGGTCGTCGAGTAACTGGTTTCACAACTTAACAGACAGGCATTGTGTCAACTCATGTCCGAGATCAGATCCGATATACCTCGGATGGCCCGTTGAACCATCGGCACTCCATCATAACAACAAACCCTCTTGGAGGACCCCGCATGTATAGAGGAGGTAGGCTTTGGCAGTGTGGTATCCCACCAGCCCAACAAACACGGCGCGTCATCAAAGAATGCGTCTGACAGCCGAGCATCATCATCATACCAGGACCACCAAACCAACGCGATCGACAACAACAGAGTATCGTACCGATCACTGCCGGAATATAGGTAGTCTAAGCACCAAATCGCTGTTACAGGCAAGTATACCACACAAGCAAAACTCACCGCCAAAAAAAATGACCCCCAACACCCGTCTATCTCCGATCAGACCATGACAGTCAGAGCCCAAACAGCCCAGGCAGCGCCATCTCCCTCCTCGCCTCCATCTTCCAGAATCACACACGGCTGTGTCCGGGTAGTAGATACACAACCTCCCGGATCAAACCGTCTTGATCTCCAGCTCAAACCACGGCGTCACACAACCGCGGCCGTATATGCCTCAACCACCTGAGTAAGGTAGGTAAGTAGGTATACCTGACCCTGCTTTAAACCTCACCTCACATAAGGTACACACCAAAACATGGCAAACTCGAACAACACCCCCTTTTCCCCCTTCAGAACTTGCCCAATCTAGTGCTGTGTTTGTGCTCCTGTTTAGCGCACGCATAGCCCCTCGGACGGTGTGACGAAAACACTGTCACCGAACACCTTTCCTCGGTTAGCTTGGTATACCTGCGCAAGAGTTTGTTTACGTTGCCTTGCCACAACTCAACGGCCGGATGGCCCTCGGCCGAGAGGGTGCTACTTGAGTGTGAGATAAGTCGGTCTATCTTTATGAACGGGATATGTGTGTATTAATTGTTGATTTGGTTTTGCTGCGGTTCTTCCGGCATAAAGGTGTTTTGTTAAATCGAATGGGGGGCAAAAAAATAACAGCCCAGTAAGTTGAAGTTGCTCGATGAGGTTGCTCCCTGTGTACCTCCTACTCTTAAAATTCTGAGATCAGATGGAAGACACCATAGAAGACAGACCTCAGTCGCTCCAGGATTTCAAGTTGTTCACAACACCAACAGCAACTCGGGCAAGAGCACAGAGCAAATACTTCTGTCTACCAAGAGGCATTTCTGCGACTTTTACTAAAGAGTCCCATCTCATTCCAGTCACAACCACCACGAGCCATCCAAGCTCACTGGTCCACTTACAACTGATCAACGCGAGGCAAAACTATTATTCGAAGCCAAACCTCATCAACCGTGATTCAAAGTTTCCTGTGGTCATGAATCGGCTTTGCACAATAAGTATCAGAAACATTCCATCATTCGGCGCATCGCTGGATGAGGATTTTTCTCGCTAGCAAACCAACCTCAGATATACCTCCAGAAAAACACGCCGAAACCAGCCGTATTTACCTGCCCCAAATGAAATGAACATAAAAAGCTTTGCTCGAGTTAGTTTTTGATAATAAAGAATAAAAAATAAAAACCCCAAAAAAACCAACTGGTCCGATCCAAAGCAAGCAATGTGTGTGTGAACTTGTCATGTCGACAAGTCATGTGACATCCAATCCGTGGAAAATACTCAGTACATACCACAGCCCGGATTGATGTTTTGACACAACATACCAAAGAGAACAGAAAAGATAAATGTGAAATTCTTGCAATTTTCAGCAGCATTATCATCAACCCTGCAAGATATCAAAAAGTTCATGATGATGATGAACATGAGTGGGCCGAGCGATGAGCTCAAGATCACAGAGTCGGACACTGCCATGCCAGTCAGGTTGAACGCGCAATAATGACTAAAAAAAGGGGTCAAGGAATGTGTAAATTATTGATTCGAGAATGGACACCGTTATAAGACCATTGATCCGCCCTGGGCGGGCGACATGACTCGTCAAACCTCAACAAATCGAGAGTCGGTCACGATCACAACAACAGCCAACAATCGCAACAAAACACCATGGGTTACAGGATCACGACAGCAGAATTGGAGAAGGCAGATCACACTGGGTGATAATGACTTGGTCACGATAATAACGCGACAATGCTGTCATTCTTAGCACGGCATCAACCCAAGTCAACACATTACCAAAAGCAATAAACACCAAAGCAAGTAAGATCAACCCGAGGCAAGTCAATCCCATTCACATCACAATCACAAGCAGCATCGGTCAAGAAAAAGAGTCTCTCCATCATCATCATCCATTACAGATTCATATACACGGCTAGTACTAGAAAGAACATTGAGACATGTTTTTTCCCTCCCGAAGCCAGCACTATCATAATAATCCGAATCCCTTTGCCCATCCACATATATCCTAGCAAATATTCCTACCAAAAAAAATAGATTACCCAATGAAGCCTCTCGGCAAACAAGACATTAACCAAGAAACGACATTAGATAAACCATTTTTTATCGCGACAATCTAAGCCAAAAGTAATTCCAAAACAGGTTTTCAGAGGTGGTGAAACCCCCTTAAAGGCGGGAGCCATGGACGACCTTCATGTCAACAGCCATCTCGCGGCCGTGGTCAGTGACGACGAGGACGCGGACGGAGCCACGGCCAGACTCGAAAGCCTTCTGGAGGCGGTTCCAGAGCGAAGACTGGTCAATGACGGGGAGGTTCTGCTTGACATCACCGGTCTCGGTCATGGCGACGATGGCGCCATCCTGCATGTCAAGGACGCGGTACTGCTTGAAGACGGGGCCGAGCATGGTCTGGACAACGACGCTGGGGGCGGGGTTGGAGACGAAGCTGGACTCCTCATGGAGCTGCTTGGTGAAGAGGTCAACACCGAGGTAGCGGTGCTGGCCGGTGGCAGCAGAGGTGCTGATGCGGATGACCTGGCAGGGGCGGCCCTGGAGGATCAGGATGTCACCGAGGCGGATGTGGTGGCAGGGGATGGTGACGGTGTTGGGAGCCTTCTCAACGGCAGGGGCGGCAGCGGGGCCGCGGCGGACGGAAGAGACCTCAGCCTCGACGTGGCCTTCATGATGGTGGTGGAGCTTGTCAGCCAACTTGTGCAACTTGTTGTGGAGCTTGTTGTGAACCTCCTGGCGGAAGGAGTGGTAGCGGTCTGTGTGTTGGTGGGGCCACAGTGAGTACTCGCTCACATGTCGACACTCTCGTGTGCATGGGGAGAGATGGCATCAAGGGGCACCACCAAGACAAGACGCTAGAACAAGGGTGAAAGGGGCGGGAGATACTCACTGTCCTCATCGTAGTAACCCATGTTGTTGGTGGTGGTGGTGGAAACGGTGGAAGGCGTGTAGGGCTTGTCGTCCAAGAGCTTTACCTCCTTCTTAGGGGCGGTAATGCGAGGGGGGCGGGGGAAGTCGACGGTGGTGTCGGTGACTTGGAAATGAGATTCCTTCTTGGCGGGACGGGTGATAGCAGCCTCGACAGTGAACTTGTCACCGATGGAAGTGCTGGACTTGAAGACCGGGCGACGGGTGGGAAGGTCGACGGTGGTGTCGTAGCTGGGGGAGGCTACAACGGTGGGTTCCTTGCGGTAGTTGGCTTGGGTGCGGGCGCGGAATTCACTCTCAGCAAGGTCGACGACGGAGCTGTGAGGACGGTGGCGGTGGTCGAGTTCGATGCGAGACTCGAGGTAGTTGGAGGCGGGAGGGGGTGGTTGAGGTCTGAAGAAGGCAAAGGAAAGATGTGGTCAGCAAAAGGAAAGAGCAGAGAATGTGTCTTCCTTGAGCCAGATATTGTTGTGGGAGAAGGCCTCGCGTCGCTTGGTCAACCCCCGACCCCCTGGCCCCGAAGACCTTGGCGGTGCCCTAGGGTCGATAGCTCGGCCAGGGGGGGTGGGCTGAAGAGCGGAGCAAAACAAGACAAACGAGGAAAATGGCTGCTCTGAGGCTCCAGCGGGGAATCCACACCCAAGAGATCCGAGCCGGGACAGGAGGCTGGGGATCAGCCATTGGGGCGGGCCAGGCCAAAGGGGCGGTAAAGAAAAACAAATTGACGGTGACGGTGATGCCGGCGACAGAAAGAGAAGTCAAAAACATACCTGCGGATCTCCTCGTGGAAATGGTACTCTTCCTTCTTGATGACGGGGACGGGGACGGGACGGCGGTGCTCTTCCTCCTTGCGGGTGATGCGGACCTCCTCTTTGAAGCGGTTCTCCTCGATGACCTTGGGGGGCGGGGGGGCAGGGAGAGCGGCTTGGGCGGTGAAAGAAGAGTCTTGACCTATCCGTCCAGCTGGGGGAACTTGGATCTTGATCTCCTCGTGGGTTTTGGTCTGGGTAGCGGTCTCGGACTCCCTGTAGGCAGACGGGAAGACGCTGAAAGGGACCGGGACGCGGGCTTCAAAGTCCAGGTTGCCGGTTTACTGGGCGCAAGAAACAATCTTCTTGACGTACGACAAGAAGATATCTCTTGCTAACTTCCTAGAAAAGAAGTCGAAAGAAAGGAGATGAGAAGGCGGTCTGTGAATCGACCCGTCTTCTGTGCTCTGGTTTCTGTTCGAGTCCTTTGAAAGGGAGGGCGGGGAATGGATGGAGATGGTGGTGATGGCTTGAGCTGACTCTGAGTGGAGGATGAGGAAGGAAAGAAGATCAAGACCAGGAGGGCACAGCTGCTCGAGCGAGCGCGGTTCAAATACGCATGGGGCGGAGCGCTTCCGGGCTCTGAACGTCGACCTTGGCCGGTTGGCAGGGGACCGTCGACGACGAGAAGGATGTGTGACCACAGGGGGTGGTTCCAACCAGCTCTGGAAGCCCTCTGTTTACCTTTTGTGGAGAAGAGGCCTGCGAGTTGTTTATCCTGCACCAATGGGGGATAGCGGACCCTCTTTTCGGAGGAGCCATGGCCCCACGAGCATGTCTCTGATTGCTCGGCCGTGACCGGGAGCTGGGACGCGTCCAGCCATTTCGAGCTAGGAGCTGTCTCGTTGGGAGCTGAAAGCACAGAGCTCGATCGCGGTTGACCCCTGGAGATGAGACGTCAGAAAGAAAAAAGGCGCGCTTCTCCAGCCTCTCCAAATCCGGGGGTAGCAGAGAGCGCTTGCTGGGTGATGGGCGAGGGTTGCCCGGGCCTCCTGTAGGGCAGAACATGGACCTGGAGCGTCAATGGCTCGAACTGGTCTCTCAATTGATGAGAAGACACAAACAGAAGTCGTATCAAAGCTGTCTCTGATTGAAATTGGTCCACCCCCGTCCTCCTGCAGCTTCGTGCATCTCAGGGCGCCACCGACCACACCCACAGGCTGACGGGAGACGGACTAGCCAGCCAGGACCGGGCGCCCACGCCGTACACACGCTTGTGCCGGCATCGTTGATAGGTGGTTGGGGACGCGGTGGGGGCTCTGGGGCCGTGGTGTGCGCAATTGGGGAGGTCGGGAGCAGCTCCCTTTTACTTTCCTCGGCTGCAAGCCAAGGAGAAGAGCAGATCACCAGCAGCTTCGTCTGACAATTGGCTGTTGCATTTATCAAGGGGGTGTCCCGTCCCAGCCTCTTTTTCCCGTCTGAGAGCTCGTGGGAGAAGGCCATTGGGTCGATAGGGGAGTTCCAGCCATCCACGACTTGATGCACAATTTTATTCGTCTCGTTTGATGTCTCCCGGTCCTCGTATCGATGTCGCACAGGCCGGCCGGCTATCAGTTGTCAGGTTGTCATCGAAACAGATGGCATCTGCCAGACCGCCGCCGTCCCCGAGGTGTCTCCAGCGCCGTCCCCACAAAGTCGATTGCTTTTGCAGCCGGGAGCTGACACGACACGAGGCCTGAAAGTCAAAAAGCTGGACTTCCTCCCCATGCGCTACCGAGGCCATCTCCAAAATCTCCACTGGGAACAGCACACCATTTCCAGTTGTCCCGGCAACTGACCTCCTTTTGCGTCTTCTGCTCCGCCCCTTTGCGGGATCAGCCGCCGAGCAGTCCGATCCTACCCATTAACTGCCGTCACATGCGCGATGCGAGAAGACGGAGCCGACGCAGGGGAAACAGCCGCCGTCGGGGTTTCATGAACTTTGGGACCTTGTTTACTTGCGACGTCGTCGACATCGTCGTTTGCTCTACCTATGTTGTTCAGGCATCCGGCCGTCTGTCGACTTGAACCTGTTGAGAGTTGTCTGATCAGTTCAACAACCCGTTAACCCGACCCGAAAACCAACCCGAGCAGGAACCAGGGAATCGCTGTCCTGGGTCCTGTCAATGCGTCCGCCGACCGATGACCCGGATCCGAATTCACAATCAGTCCCCCGGGGCACCTGTGCCGGAAGAGACGAGGAAATAAACTTTGGATCTGGAGTCCGGGCTGACTTCAACCTGCTATGGTAAGTTTGTGATATGGGCGTTCCGGACCATCGATCGATTTCGATTCAAAATTGGGAAATTGGACAAACTAAGCATATGCACGATGGCGTTTCTGGCTTGATCATGGCGGATTGGTGGCTCTCCATGCTGCAACCGCAAGCTGGAGATCTCGAGCCCAAAGAGCTGGAGATTCAACTAAACAACCTCATTCCCGTTGAGTGTCAGGATTTAACTTTTGACGGCTGCACACCCCCGGTTGGTGGCTTAATCATGACCGAGGGGGCTGCCATGGGTCTCAACAGACCGCTGTCCGCAGCATAGCGTAAAGGTACGAATTGTAGCACCATCGTAACAACTTTTCCACTACTTCAATTGATCATTTTTGGTCTCGTGTGTTGTCTTGTCTGAATATTCCTGTATACGTTCAGCACCAATGGAGGAGGAACTTCAACCACACTGGCAACAGTCAGGTGCTGCCTTTATCGTCGGAGGGCTGCTTGCTGTCTTCGTGTTTGCCGTCATCTACAAGGTGTGCCTGTGTCAATACTGGTTAGAAAGAAACCCCCATCCTCGTTACCTGCGTTCTCGAAACCAGCAAGGCTGCTGCTGTTGAAAAGAAGAGGATCCGAGAAGAGCTTTGCCGTCGCAGTCATAGGCCGAAGAGACAGAAGCTTGGCAGACGTCGAAGGTGCCAGGTGCACTTTTACCCCACCTTGATTACCCCTCCACAGCTTGCACCAAACTTCCAACTCGGCCCCGGATATCGCTGTCGCAAGCTGAGAAACCGCAGAGAACATAGTCAAAATGAAGCAGAGATTCTCGTCCTTGGACGTAAAGGTGTGTGTAACCCCCCGTATATTCTTTTCACACGCATCCTGACCCCGCTTTCCAGGTGATAGCCCACGAGCTCTCCGAAGCCCTCGTCAGCCTCCGCCTAGCCAACATCTACGACCTCAACTCCAAAATCCTCCTCTTCAAGTTCGCCAAACCCGACAACCGCCAACAGCTCCTCATCGAATCCGGCTTCCGCTGCCACCTCACAGACTTTGCCCGCTCCACCGCCCCGGCCCCTTCAGCCTTCGTCGCCCGCCTGCGCAAGTTCCTCAAGACCCGGAGAGTCACCAGCGTCTCCCAGATCGGCACAGACAGAATTATCGAGTTTCGATTCTCCGACGGAGCCTACAGGTTATACCTCGAGTTCTTCGCCAGCGGCAACGTCATCCTCACCGATGCCGACTTGACCATCATCGCCCTGTTGCGGAATGTTCCCGAAGGCGAGGGACAAGAGCCACAGCGGGTTGGGCTGAAGTACACCCTCGAAAACAGACAAAACTTTGGCGGCGTCCCGGAGCTCACAAAAGAGCGTCTGAGAGCTGCGTTGAAGACGGCAGCGGAGCATGCGGTTACGAAAAAGGCAAAGAAGAAGGGGGCGGACGAGCTGAGGAGGGGGTTGGCAACTACCATCACCGAGTTACCCCCTGTGCTGGTTGATCACGTCTTTCGACTAACCGAGTTCAACTCTGCCGCGAAGCCCCTTGAGATTCTGGAGAGCGAGACTTTGCTGGATTCTCTGTTTCGGGCGTTGGAGAAGGCGAGGGCGGTGCTGGACGAGGTGACGAGCTCGCCCAGGGCAACGGGATATATCATTGCCAAGCCTAATCCGCGTGCTGTCGAGCAGCCACCAGCGGAGACTGAAGGGGAGACGCAGAAAGAGAAGCCTAGGGGTCTGCTCTATGAAGATTTCCAGCCTTTCCTTCCAAAACAGTTCGAGGATGATCAGGGGCTGACAACACTTTCCTTTGATGGGTACAACAAGACGGTTGACGAGTTCTTCTCTTCTATCGAGGGACAGAAGCTTGAGTCCAAGTTGCAGGAGCGGGAAGCTACTGCCAAGAGGAAATTGGATGCTGCCCGTCAGGACCAGGCCAAGAGGATCGAGGGGCTGGTTGGTTTCCAGACGTTGAACTTGCGCAAGGCTGCCGCTATTGAGGCCAATATTGAACGTGTTCAAGAGGCTATGGATGCGGTTAATGGGCTGCTTGAGCAGGGCATGGACTGGGTTAACATCAACAAGCTTGTCGAGCGAGAGCAGGCGCAAGGGAACCCCGTGGCCGAGATCATCAAGCTACCTGTGAATCTCGCCGAGAGCACAATTACCCTGTTGCTTGGCGAGGAAGAGGAGGAAGAGGCAGGTGAAGATGAAGATATGGAATTCAACTACGATACCGACGAAGAGGTCGTTGATGCTGCTCCCGAACCTGAGAAGGCCAAGGGGCCGGATAAGCGATTGGCAATCGACATCAACCTCAAACTCTCCGTCTGGAACAATGCTCGGGAATACTACGAGCAAAAGAGGACCGCTGCCGACAAGGAAAAGAAGACCGTTGCGCAGTCGGTTATTGCGCTCAAGAGTGCTGAGCAAAAGATTACAGAGGACTTGCGGAAGGGGCTTAAGCAGGAGAAGCCTGTGCTGCAGCTGATCAGGAAGCAGATGTGGTTTGAGAAGTTCGTCTGGTTTATCTCCTCAGATGGCTATCTTGTGCTTGGTGGGCGAGATGCGCAGCAGAATGAGATTCTGTACAAGCGGTACTTGAAAAAGGGTGACGTGTATGTTCACGCCGATATGCACGGTGCATCCACCGTCATCATCAAGAACAGCCCCAAGACCCCTGATGCGCCAATTCCGCCTTCAACACTGGCTCAGGCGGGTAGCTTGTCGGTGTGCTGCTCGAGTGCGTGGGATAGCAAGGCAGCGATGGGCGCGTGGTGGGTGAATGCCGATCAAGTGTCCAAGTCTGCTCCGACGGGCGAGTACCTCCCGGCCGGGTCCTTCATGGTCAGGGGAAAGAAAAACCCGCTGCCACCGGCTCTTCTGATGCTCGGGTTCGGGTTGATGTTCAGGATATCAGAGGAAAGCAAGGCAAAGCATGTCAAGCATAGGCTGTACGACGGCGATATCGATCTTGCTCCCCCATCGAAGCCCGAGAAGGAGACCGAAAAGGAAGCCGCCCCAGAGCAAGACAACCACGAAGACTCTGGCACCGACGGAGACGACGACGGCCCCGAAGACGAAAAGAGATCCAACCCTCTTCAGTCCAGCGGTAAACCCCAGTCCGAGGACGAAGATGAAGAAGCCCCTGAGCCCCCATCAGACCAACTCTCCAACCTCGATATCGCCCCCGTGGAAGAAAAAAAGCAACAAGCTGAACCCGAACCAACCCCCGTCTCCAATTCCGACTCTGAGTCTGACCACGAAGAGGAAGAAAAGGAAATCGGAACTCCCTCCAGAACCGGCACCTTCACCCCCTCCCAATCCCAACCCCAACCCAACAAGAGATCCCTCAAACGCGGGCAACGCTCCAAAGCCAAAAAGATTGCCCAAAAATACAAAAACCAAGATGAAGACGACCGCGCCTTGATGGAAGAACTCCTCGGTGTGGCTGCTGCACGCAAAAAGGCCGAAGCCGAAGCAGCGGCAAAGAAGCAAAAAGAACTAGACCACCTCGCCGCGATGGAAAAACGGCGCAAACAACAGGAGAGGCAACAAGCACAAATCGCCAAGCACGAAGAAATCCGCAAGATGATGCTTGAAGAAGGTGTGGATATTCTCGACGAGAACGAAAAGGCCGATGCAGGACCGTTGGAAAGTCTTGTCGGGACCCCGATGCCAGGGGATGAGATACTGGAGGTTGTGCCTGTTTGTGGACCTTGGGGTGCGCTGGGGAAGTTGAAGTATAAGGTCAAGTTGCAGCCTGGGCAGGTGAAGAAGGGGAAGGCGGTCAAGGAGATTTTTGAGAGGTGGAAGCTGGCTGCCGGCAAAAAGGGGGTTGTTGACCCCAAGGGGGAGGATGGGGAGAAGATGTGGCCTAGGGAGGTGGAGCTGATTAAGGGGGTCAAGGTGGAGGAGGTGCTTGGGGTGGTGCCGGTTGGGAAGGTGACGCTCATGGCCGGGGGTGGGATGTTGGGGGGAGGGGCGGATAAGAAGGGTGGTGGTGGTGGGGGCCAGAGTAAAGGCGGGAAGGGGAAGGGGGGTGGTGGTGGTGGTGGTGGGAAGAAGGGAAGGTAAATAAGGTGATGATGTGAAGTTTTGGAAAATGAGTGTAGATATTCAGTCATGTGTATTTGACGCTAGCGTGTAAAAAGCGTTGTTTCCACCTCGTCCCAGCTAACCTCTGCGGATTTCATCCCATCTCCCCACCGCATCAAACTTTATACTACCTCTTCCTAACATAAACAAACAACCCCTCGTCCCTCCCGGCAAAGCTAGGCAGAGGCACTTGAACCACCTTTTCCCACTTTCCCCTCTGTTCTTGCGATTCCAACATGAAACTATCCATCGTCCCCTTCCCTCTGCCGAAGGAAGTATACCCGTTCTTGTTTTGAGTCCCAGCCACAACGACGACATCACCTTGATATTCTTTCATCAGATCCTTGGTAAAAGAACCAGAGCCGTCTGGTCCCGTGATGGGGTAGACAAGGAGGAGGATGTGGGATTTGTGTTGAGAATCAGGAAGGGAGTGGAGGTAGGATGTGCCGGTTGTCAGGTGGGTGTCTTTGAGCCAGGTGACTCTCCTAATCAGGGCAGTCAGTGTGTCGCTTATAAAAGAAGGGAAGGTGTTTTTGGTTGGCGGAAGATGGATGGATGGGTAAGGGGCAACATACCATTCACTCTGCATATTGTCCACAGCCACAGTCTCCAGCCCACACTGCCTCAGCATAAAACTCCAATATCCACTCCCACTGCCCACGTCCAAAATCTTGAGCGGTGGTGGCTTTTCTTTTTTGGCCTTCTTCTTGGATTCCTTCTTGCCGTTCGTAGCCCCGTTCCCATTTCCATTTTCGGGCCCAACATTGTCATTTCCGTCAGCTGTGCTATCGCCGTTCTTCTTAACCCCCTCCACGGCTAGGGTTTTGATAATGGAAAGACTCTCATAACTGGGAACCACACAGCCAAAATGGTGCATCACCACCGGCAAAACCCAGTGGCTCTTCAACCCCTGACCTCCCACCGGCCCGCACCACTCGAGATTTTGACAGGTCCATCTCCAGAAGTCAAGATACGGGTTTAATGGCAGTGATGCAACGTTCTTGACCCTGGGGATTTGGAGGGAGGGCCATGCTGGGTTAATGTAGCGTTTTGAGGATAAGTTCTCCGCTACCAAGGCTCGGATGGAAGATTTCCTCGCGTTGGAAACAAAAGACTTTAGCGCCGAGGATGGGGAGAGGGAGGGAGTGAAGAGATTTGTATAGGCGGCTATATCCGTTGTTGACGGGGGAGGAAGGGGTGTCTGGAGGGGGTGTTAGCTAGGCGTGGAGGAGAAGGGGCTGGAAAAGGGTGGGAGGGATAAACACAATATACCTCACCGTCCTTCGCCCCCTCGTACCACCCATGCAGCCCCTTCTCTGCCCCCATCTCAACCCCCCTCTGCACCTGCCCCAGCGTCACACTAGCCAAAGCATGATACACATAATCGTCCTTCCCCGCCTCCGGCATACCAAACCACAACCTGACCGCCCCTTCAAAATCATTCCTCTCCTCCAACAACTTCAAAGCAGCTTGATGCCTGTCGTGATCACCCACTGCCTTCTCCGGCTCAAAGTCGGGATTGCCGACGCAGTGAACAAACGGTTTGGGTGTCTTGGTTGGCATTTTCAGTAGCAGTAGTAGGAAGGTTGTCTATTTACTTTGGGAACATCCACTTCGCGAAAAGAAAAAATCATCTGAAGTTTTTGGAGGTTGCTTTGGTAAAGTCAAAGGGCAACGACCAAAACATATCCAGGCCGGAAGCGATGATGTCATTGCTCTGTTTGTCAACCACCACCAAGCTCAATTTCCATCTCCACTACAACTATCACCTCCACCCATCACACAGGAAATGACATTTTATCACATTCCAAAGAGCATTGAACATACATATACTATGAGGCCAGAGTAATTATAATCTCGCTAAATCCCCATTGGCTGCTGCTGCGCTACTGTACAGTAAAACAACACCGAGACCGCCAGTCAGATCCCGTTAACACGCATACGTCTTCAAAACAGCAGCAGTCAGCATGGTGGGTTCGATTCTTCTCCAGTCTCGCTATCATATTCGTTAATTCGGATCAAGACTTGATGCCAACCTCGGTATGCATGTGTACCCGGGACCGCAGGTGTGCTCGCAACCGCAGGTGTTTCCAGCATAAAATGCGGGCCTACATGCCATCTGAGGCGCCTCCTCATTCTATACCATGATTGATATGTTAGGAGATGTACTCTCGCTACCATCAACTCCCTGCCTTCTCCAAAGAAGAGTCACCAGCATCCATTCCCCGCCCAAACTGGGAATCCAAGTAGAGAGAAGTTTGGAGATTCGAAGTCGCGAGGGGTCAAACGCCTTGAACCCTTCTAACGCCTCGAAGGCTTGCTCTTAGTTTGTTTCACGCCTGGCTGAATTCGAGCCATCATCTCCTCCTTTGTGATCAAGTGATCAACCCGCTCCAGGTGACCCAACAGGCTCTTCATGTTGAAGCTCCACTCGTTCAAGATATCATCAGCATCGCGAGGCTTGGCAAAGTTGACGATGCGGGCAGGCCGGTCAATCTTGGCATACACTGTCTTGGATGTCACCAGCTCGCTGATGTACTTCTCCGTCTCTTCCTCGGTCAGATCCAGGAGTTGTGTCAGACGGCCCATCCGGATGCGGGTGTAGTACTTGGCCACCACGCGCACATTGTGCTCAATCACACGCTTGCGCAAGTCTTGCCATCTGCCAAACGCCTTCTCATCGCCCGATTGTCCCTCGGCTGAATCAAAGATCTCGGTGCTGCACAAATGGGGGCCGAACATCTTGGATACTTGAGGCCACCGCATCAGCTCCTGTACCGTAAAGAGCTCCAAGAGCTCAGCATCCTCCGGAACGGCCGTGTTTCGCGTGTCCTTGTGAATGCGGTGGAGCAAATCGTGTTGCTCGTTGTCGTATGGTGCCAGGATGATGAAGTAGATGATTCTCTGCAGGACCTGATAAAGAGTCAGCTTGTGAAACTACCAACAGTGGGCGAAGAAGAAACATACAGCTCGTAGTTTGACGGGGTCCTCCTCCACCGTCTCCGTGTCAAGCACTTGTCGGTAGTGCTTGCAAACATCCAGGTATTTGGAGTCATGCTTGGCGAGCGTGATCTGTTGCTCGTAGTACCGGAGCTTGAGATCTGTGACATCGTCCTCCTTTACCTCTGGCACCTCTTCGCCGGCCTTCGCCTTCTTCTCACGTTCCTGCTGCTCCTTGTCAAGCTGCTCCTGTGTCTTTTTGGGCTTGCGCGCCAGGTATCTGGTGCTGATTTTACGACTGAGAATACCGGCTTGGGTCCAGTCGCCAATTTCAATGCACAGAGCCACCTGCGCCAGAATAAATTCGGTCTTTTCCCGACGTTCCATAGACCCAAACGTCTCGACCTGGAGCTCGCACAGAATATCCGTCGCCGCCTTTAGATCGCCTTGTTGCTTCTTGATGTCTGACAGAATCTTGGTCACACGCGCCCGCTCGACCTCGACAAAGATCTTGCCCTCGGTAACGGTACGGAGGGTCTCGATGACGGAGAGCTTGATCTCTAGGGTGGGGGTCTGGTCGAGGAAGTCCATGACGGTTTGCACCATCTTGGTGATGGCCTGTTTGAGTTGGCCATGCTTCTTGGAGAGGATAAGGGTCTGTTCGCTGAGGAGGGCCCAGTCACCGGCATTCTTGCAGAGGGTAACGATGGCGATGAGGATTCGGGATGTGGAGGCGAGATCGGATGCCTGACGGGCTTGCTTCTCAAGAATAGACAGTTTTTCGATAGCACCCTGGAGATCCGTCTGTTTTCCCGCGGAGCCGTCAGTGAAAATACAATGCAACGATGAACCCACCCAATACACAGTACCTTTGCGAGCTGCTCAGCCTCGGGAAGCTGCTGGTCCACCTCCTTGGAGTAGTCCTTCTCAGGCTTGAACGCAGCGTCCGCCATTGTGAGAAGTGCGATGGATTAGTGTATCTGGTGCGTTCTGTGTTGTCGAATGCTATTTCGGAGCTGTGCGCAGACAGAAAGTTGGTCTCGTGGAAAAGAAAATGGCTGTCTTGAAGTGGCTTGTGGTTGATGTCGAGTGGTGTTGCTGAAGGCAAGCCCCAGTCTCCAGCCCAGCCCACGTCAGTTCGCTCTGCCTACCACGAGGCTGGGCTTGGCAGCTCATTTGAGGCTGGAGCTAGGACCAGCCCCACCTTTCAGCAGCTTTCCAGCCACACAGTGTGGCTGATGCTCTATCAGTCATCACCAGGATCACAGAGGTACCTTCCAGGTCCACAGCTGCAAGGCACACAAAGAACAGTCCGGGTGGGGCCATGCCCTCGTATGGGAGACAGGCTTCCAGGCCCCTTCCATTTCTAATCCAACAACTCTCAAATGGAAGAAGTCCTTCGTTCGGTGTCCGATGCATGTCCGGTTGACCCAGATCTTGGACCAAAGATAAACCAAAAGTATATCGGAGGGTTTTGGTGCTTGTATATGTGTACGGAGTGCCTGTGAGCATGTGTATGATGAACTGATCTTCTTCTTCGCGGGCGGAACGGGTTACCCGTTGCCACCAGCTCATCTATCCATGTGCTGCACCTGACAAGCAGACGGGGTTTTTCCAGTCTTTCTCTCCCAATCTGATTGGTATCCCGACAATTCAATAGGGTCCGAGATCCTGCATCTGCAATCTCTTTTCGCCCTCCCTACCAGCGGTCGGGATGTCCCTGAACAGAGCCTGTCACTTCGGCTCTTGAACCCAGGCACCACCCCCCACCGCAGCCACGAGCTACCCCAAGCTTGGAGATCACTGGACCCCCGGCGGTCCACTCGCCTGTCTTTCTTTCAATAAGAATCACACGCTCCTCTTTTCGCGATCCCAGATCTCCGTTTCAACCTAACTCAGGTACAAGTGTTCAGTCTCCTACCGCCGGCTCTGTTTTTGTGAGCAACCACCGGCCAACCCGACAATCGACATTTTATCCCTGGAGTGCTTTTTGCCGTGTCGCACCACCCAAACGACGAGTTGCTCGTCATTGTTGTACGCTCATCATCGCTGTTCATTCAAAAAAAAGACGGCACGATGGTTCAGTCACAGGGCAAGCCATCCATGCCGGTTTTGCCAGGTCCAATGCACGAGGGTATAGCCCAGCCAAAAGATGGACCATCGGATTCATCCAACGCGGCTTCAAACGCTACCACTCAACTAACCTTGACCGGACCCCAGGACCTCCTCAACAGCACAAAGGGTCATGACCTGCCTGGCCGAGCCTCATTTGACAGTCTTTCGTCTGACCTCGGAAGGCCTTCTCTGTCCACCGAAGGCAACCGCTCGGTATTCTCTCTAGCGCAGAATTACCGCGTCGGCAACTCTTCAGAATCGCTAGACACTGCCTACTCGGCAGATTTGACCCTACCACCCATCCAGCTTCCTCCCATACAGCACCTGCCCCACCACAACCAGGACAGCGACTCTGACGAGGACACAGATCAAGACCGAATCGCTGCACAGCAGGCAGAAGAAGGCAGTATCATTGTTGATTCCGACGACCTGGGTACTGATGACGGTTACGGCTCTGACACAAACACCACGGCCTCCACGTCCCTGGCAGATAGTGTGAGGGAGTTCATCTACGAGAACGGGCGGAGATATCACAAGTTCCGGGAGGGCATGTACAACTTCCCTAACGATGATGTGGAGCAGCAGAGGGAGGATATGAAGCATCAGATGGTCAAGCTGCTTTGTGGGAAGTTGTTCTTTGCGCCCATTGACAGGCCGCAGCAGGTTCTGGATATTGGGACGGGGACGGGGATATGGGCCATCGAGATGGCGGATGAGTTCGTGGGGGCCGAGGTGCTGGGGGTGGATTTGAGTCCGCATCAGCCGGACTGGGTCCCACCCAATGTCAAGTTCATGATTGACGACGTGGAGAGCCCATGGCTGCACCCGAGTAATCATTTTGACTATATCCACTCGAGGCACACGGTTATGGCCATCAAAGACTGGCCGAGGTTGATGAGACGGGCGCAGGAGTAAGTTTCCTACAAGATGTGGAAAAACGAGATTTGGCTGACAAAGGAATAGATGCATGAGGCCCGGGGGTTGGTTTGAAATGCAAGAGGTGTATCATTTTCCGATTTCAGTGAACGACTCGATGCCGCCGAACCATCCTATCGCGCGGTACTGGTCTTTGATCAACGAGGGTTTAGAACGGCTCGGTGTCGACTTCCACGCCGTTGCCGGGGGCAAGCTTGCGAACAAGATGCGTGACGCTGGGTTTGTCAATGTCACGGAGAGGGTGCTGCAGATACCCATTGGGACGTGGCCCAAGAACAGGATCTTGAAAACGGTGGGATTGTATTGGAGGACTATTTTGCTTGACGGCATCCAGGCAATTGCTCTTGGTCCCTTGACAAGAGGGCTTGGGTGGTCACAGTCGGACGTGGAGATGCTGCTGATGGAGGTTAGGAGAGCATACAAGGACAACAGTTGTTTGTTGTATATGCCGTTTCACATCATCTACGGACAGAAACCGGCGTGATGGACAGTATTCGGGATTGTTTGGAGGTTATTTGTTTCAAGGTCATGCACGATACCAACATTTGTTCTTCTTTTGGATAATGCACGTCATGTCTGAATCCTTCCCGATGTCAAGGAACGCATGGATCTTGTGCTGCCAGTGCCGATGTGGTATCTCTCCTGTCAAAGGGCTTTGAGCTGTCAACACAACATGAAGAGGCCAACCACATGTGTGAGACATGCACCACGCAGGAGAAGGGCGGCGGAGCTTGACCGCTTACCCAAGATGACAGCTTATCACACATGTTTTCTCATGACCAATGTACGCTAATACGGTGAGCCTATTTTCACCTTGCTCACCACATGTATGTCATACGCCCCGCCGTGATTCGACAGGAGTTGTCCTGAGTGGGGAAGTATACCAGACCCGACAGAACGACAGCGAACTGCTGTACGGATACCATGACCATGATGCGGAGCGGCTAGACTGCTAGAGAAGAAACAGAAACAGAAGCTATGGATACCGGTGGGTTGTGGCCGTTGTCCCCACCCTCCCGCGCTGCCCGCCGAGACCAGCAATTTTACCCGTTTGGCTGGGGGAATTTCCGAACATCCCATCAATCACCTCCTCAACACTCCCCCGGGGCGGGCGCCGGGCAGTTTCCAAGAGACCGGAACCTACCCAAGAGCTGCAAATCGACCAAATGAATCACGCACTTGCTGGCATTCCTTGCTTGTGTTGCTCTCTGATTGGGCATAATTAGGACACCACCATTGCATGTCTGGGTAGAGACACCACCCAGTGGGACATGGGCATCTCTGTTCCCAGCACCCTTCCCCTTGCCTTCGTCTCTCCGAAACAGGACCCATGGGTATTTTGCGCCATCCCCCACCACGGAGGAACCACGCTCGAACCACCACCACCACAACGACCCGACACCTTGGCTGCTTAATCTAGGATAATTTGCCGGATTGGCCTGCATGGCTTGCAGGAAAGAGAAGTTTTGATCTATTGTGATAGGCCGGGAAGTGCCGACTGGGTTTCCAGGGACACGGTTGTCGATTTTTGGTGATGATGCTGGAGGCATCTTGACGATGATTTTGGCCGGTAGGTAGACCAGAGTCAAATACCGAAAAGAATCGGTAGGACCAACTTGACGGCATCACGGATCTTACTTGAGAAAAAGACGATAGTTTGCTGAATTACCACACTATCCTCCTTCGCGGATGCATTAGCCTGCACAGAAAGGAGCCGTCTCGCTGCACCTGCAGGGGCAGGCACCCACGACATGGTTCCATACTGGGGACGCTCCGGGCAGCGGGGCATGGGCAGGTCGAACGGAGTCCCAACTGGAGTCGCGGCTCACCCCTTTTGGCCCTTTGGAATCATGGGATTATCCCTCCAAAGGGGGCCTGGTGCCTTCACAAACCCCCTCTTAGCCATCCTTGGGGTGGAATGGCCCGTCTGCTGGGTCTTTTGCCAAAAGGCGATAAAGCGTCGGCAACCTGCGTTTCTTGCTTTGACGGTAAGACTTTTTCTCTCCCGGTTATGTGCGTGAAGGACCTCTAGCATCACGGACTGCAATCCTCTCTCATTTTTCCCCCCATCCGACAAAAGAAGCATATCAAAGATACTGATCTTTGTACTTGCAAGGAGACCCCTGTCATCCCTTTTCACACACAACACACACACACACCATCACGAAGCTCAACCGCAGATATATCGGCCGATCGACTGCCTTCTGCCCTTCTGCCCTTGCTCTCCAAGCCGGACGTGATCACTTATTAGCATTGCTATATTTATTCATTTTTTCGCTGACGTTCATAACTGGAGTTTTGTATCTCGGTGTAACCACATTAATGAGACAATCCCATGCCATTTCTGCATAGTACGTTTACCAGCGAGACGGCCCCGGGTCGCCTTGTCCCACATGAGAACCTTTCTGTCGGATCCTGGCTTATACAGACTTATAGGAATTTTTGACTCCAGGTTTCACCTCGTGGTGGCTCATCGTTGAATTTTGATACTTGCGGGTATGTGACCTTTTCTTTTGTTGCTGGCGTCTGTAGGCCAACATGGATACATGCATACATATTTGGACGTGATCACTTTTGGCTGCTTATCGTCTGGGGGCCATATGATCGAGATGTGGCTTATGGTTGACTGTTTAAGAGCGAGCTACTCATCATCCTTCCGCCATTATCTCCCTTTGGATACTCATCTGATCTCACCCCCGAGCAGAAATCGCACCGGTTGGACTCGACTAACGGATCCCCCCTAATAGGACGGTTCAACTGGCGGAATTCAGTTCGGTATCCCCGGTTTTTTCGGAGGACATAAGTTGTCATTGTGTAATTCAGTTTTGCCTCTATCGACAAAGAACCACACTTGAAATCGCCCAACATGGCCAAACTCAAGCTCAGTTCCATCTTCAGCCCCAGCAGCTCCAACAATGCTGCCTCGACAAAAGAGGGAGAGACCAAAGACCTCAAAAAGTCCAACCGCCGCTCCTTCTCGGCCCTCTCTGCTTCCCTCCTCGGTACCAAGGACACGGAGACGAACGGTACTAGCGCTGCTACCTCGTCCAAGTCTGCTACCCCATCCGTGGCCCCGGGTCCGGCGGCGCCGGCCACAACGTCAGAGATGGTCGCCCTGGCCCAAAAGATCACCAGGGAGACGGAGAAGCTCGAGGCCTACATGAAAGAGCATGACCTCCCCATGCCGAGCTTTGACGCCAGTGCCCCGGCAGATTTCCCCAAGCTGCCGGATGAAATTGCCCAGAGCAGGAAGGCGATTATCTCGGCGACGAAGGAGCTGGGGCTGTTGGCTCATGGGCCGAGGGAGAGTGTGAGATGGGGGATTTGGGAGGTGTGTTTTTTTTATTCTTCGCTCCCACCACCACCTCACAATACTGACTTGTGCTCCAGTTCCTTGACACCCTCGCCCTCGCCGCCATCAACCACTATGGCATCGCCAAGCTCGTTCCCCTCGACGCCCCCATCTCCCTCGCCGACCTCCAGGCCAAAACCACGCTCGATCCCATCAACCTCGCCCGTTTGATCCGTCTCGCCATCACCAACAAGATCTTTTACGAGCCCACCCCCGGCCTCATCGCCCACACGGCCGCCTCCAGGGTCCTGGCAGAGGACTCTGACCTCCAGGCCTGGGTCGGCTTCAACGGGGAGGACATCCTCCCCGCCTCCGCCCACGTCCTCCAAGCCCTGCAAACCCACCCCGAGGCCACCTCCCTCACCCGGACCGGGTTCCAGTTTGCCTTCAACACCGTCGACAAAGAACCCATGTTTGTCACCTTTGGCAAGGACCCCGACAGAGCCAAGCGCATGGGAAAAGCGATGGTGTCGCTGACGGGCGGGGAGGGCTACGAGCCGTTTTGGTTCGTCGACGTGGAAAGAGGCGGGTATGACTTCGGTGAGATTGACGCGAGGGGGGGAACGTTGGTCGACGTGGGCGGCAGCCACGGCTTCATGTGCGTCGCCCTGGCGGAGAGGTGGAAGAACATGAAGTTTGTCGTGCAGGACCTGCAAAAGACGGTCGACAGCGCGCCGAAGCCGATCTCGTCCGACGCTCAGGTCGCCGAGCGGATCACGCTGCTGCCTCACGATTTCTTTACCGAGCAGGTGACCAAGGAGGCGGACGTCTACTTCTTCCGCTGGATCCTCCACAATTACTCGACCCCCTACGCGCTCCAGATCCTCCGCAACCTCGTCCCCGCCCTCAAGCCGGGCGCCCGCATCATTATTAATGATCACTGCCTGTTTGAGGGGTCGGGGCAGGAAGACCCCTGGGACGAAAAGGTCATGCGCCGCATGGATGTCGTGATGCTCAGTCTGCTCAACGCGCAGGAGCGTACCGAGTCCGAGTTCAGAGAGTTGTTCGCCAAGGCCGGGGAGGGGAATCAAAAGGGGGAGTTTGTTTTCAAGGTAATATTTTTTTTTAACTTTTCTCAACAATACGTCTCTTTTTGCTTATGGTGAATGTTAGCTGACAGAGTTGGGGGGAAAAATAGGGCGTCAAAAGACCAGAGGGCTGCAGAATGAGTATCATCGAGGCGGTCTGGCAGCTCAGGGAGGAGGCTCCTACTGTTGCGGCTGTCGAGGAGGTCAAGGAAGGGGAGGAGACCCCTGCTGCTGTTGAAGAGCCCAAGACTGAGGAAAAGGCTGAGTGAAAGGATGCTTTCAAGATTTGCTGAGCACGTTACTGTTTCATATGGGCCCATTTGTTTAGCGTGCAACAAGCATCATTCATAGTTACATAATTCATAGTTTGAATCATCCAAAAATGTTCTCCCCAGTTTCGTGATTGCTAAAATGAGCGTAGATTTGCCATTGCCACAAGCATGCTCTCATGATCCGTCGTCCACGACGATCGAGACATGCATCCTATACATCGCTTGCTCCATCAACTTTAAGCAACTGTCTGTGCCAGAAATAAGAAAAGACATGACTGAAACGGTATATAATACAACGATTATCCATACCTTCCATCGTCCCCCCACCCTCAGCCTATCAGTGAACGAGCTTGATGCCCATGCCCCCAACATCAGCACCGATATTCTCCCCCTTACTGCAGCATGGACCCCCAAGACGCTTCTCTCCACGCCCCCGAGCTTGTGGTGTTGTTGTCGGTGCAGCAGCAAAATCCGTTGTCGAGGTTGTTGTGCCATCCACTGGGGGCTCATCCTGGTGTTTTATTGGCGCGGACTGTTCCTCCTCAATCGGTAGTTCCGGACCGTCAGCATGACACCCTTTGTGATTGCAGCACGTCTTTCCCGTCATTGTCTGCGGCTGCTGGCGCAAAGGCTCCGATGAAGGTCTTTGTCTCTGCTCGGAAGATTGCTTCCCCTTCCCAGCACCGACTGGCCGTGGAGGCGGGGGCGTGCTCGTGCCACGAACCGGACGTGGGCTGGCAGGGAGTCCAGGACGTGTAACGATCAACCGAGGCACCGTCAGTCCTGCATTTCCTGGGGGGCTTCCGTTCACTCCATGACCACTGTTTTCTGTGGCCAAGTTGGTTGCTGGAGCCCTCGTGCCGTTGAGAAGCTTGCTGACTGCCCGGTCGAGGATGAGGTGGTGAAGCGCAAAGATGTGAGTCGTGATGGTGTTGTCATTGCGTTCGGCCTGGGCTTTGTGGTGTTCGAATCTGTGTTTGTCTATAAGCTCCCACCTCAGTTTTCTCCACATGCGAGTTTCGCCGTCATCGTCAAGGCCGGCAAGGGAGCATCTTTGAAGGATCTTTTCTGTGTCGAAATCAGTATGCTGTTCATGTTAAGAGACAAACGATTCGTCATACCACAATGCTCAATATCAGCCCGGGCCTTTTGTATGATGAGGTCAATCCGCTGCTTGCTCTCAGGCTGAGACGATAGCAGGTGGTTGTGTTGCTCCCAGAGCCCCCTAAGCTCTCCCAAATGGTTGGAGTAAGAGTTCACGGTGGCGATACACCGTTGCAAGTCCGACTGTTCCAGCTCCGCCGAGGTCTCAGACGGAGACAACAGGGACCTACTCTTCGTCTTCACATGGCGATGGACGCTGGACACCAGCCGGCGCAACTTTCCAGTGTTGCGGGCAGGTTGGTTCGCGGACGACGACGGCGGCAGCTCCATTGTCTGACGAGAAATCCAAAAAGGGGATGGTCCCAAATTTTGTGTCGTCCACTGAAGATCTGAAAGTTGGTGTGATCAAGGAGGCATGACGGCAAGAAAGAAAAGTTCCCACGTGTGTGAGACGGGAGAAGGTAAGGTAAACAGAGACAGGATTGGAAACAACCAAGACACGAGGCCTTAGCCCGTGCCGAATAGTGTTTTATGGCGAGATTTTTTTCCCACTCATGACGCACTGGAGATCTGTGGGACGGTCGGGTACGAGTCGGCCGTCGTGAAAAGGGGGGGAATGGTTCGAGTATGCAACTTGTTTTCGTCGGACTGGTTGCCGTAATACCGTCCATATAAAGCTGTCTCTTTTCACTGGACTTGTGCTGGCGCGCGGCATGACCAACAACAAACAAGACCCTCGAGCGAGTTCGGAAAGGGTGGATGGGGGGAGGGAGCGGGCGGTTGACAGCAAGCATCCGAAACAGTGAGGGGAGCATATCATGTCGTGCGACGACATAGATGGATTTGTTGAGTGTTTAATACTCTTGGTTTCTTAGAGGAAGAAATATACCTTATTAAAGGAAAAGGGTAACATCGCAAAACGATCCGCGCAGTTCTGTAGTGGCAAAAATGACATTCGACTGAGCCTCAGGATCTCGGTGTGGTCCAAGTTGAAAGCGATGTGTTTTTCCGTGTCCAACGGAAATGAAACCTCAAGGTCCCGTTTTGTGCAAGGTCAAATTGCCAGCAGGAGTTGGCGGCTGTCAAAACTAGGACCATAGAGCAGATGAAGACGGGAGGCTCGACTGACGTGGCCGTGGGTAATGAGGTCATGCCTTTCAATCAGGTGGATTGTTTGTGTGCCACGGTTTGTGCTAAATAATGATTCTCATAGCTGTTGACGGGCAACTGTTTGCTCAGTCAAGATGTTGAGTACGCGTTACTAAGATGCACTTGGGACTCGAGAATAACAGGCTGAATCAAGGGTGTCAAGCCATCAACTTCAAGCAAATTATTTGAACTTCTCGTCAGTTCTGACCAGTATTTGTGACATCAGGGTGTGTGTACCTCAGGGGCAAGTGGGACTTCCCCAATGTAAACAAACAGCCAACATCGAGCTGCTCCCTCCACATTGCTCCCACGGTATATGTACCAGTTCCTCGCACCTTTCATCACCGAACGAGATTCCCAACTCGGCTCTTGCCAAATGACTTAGCAGTATTGGGAGTCGCGGCACGGACTTGGATAAGGACCAAGGAGGACCAAAGAGGACCAAAGAGTACCAAGGGGCGTCCGTTCGAGTCAAAGTAAAACCTGTGGTTTTCGTAGCCGAGTACCTCCCATTAGGGACTGCGCTACTTGGTGAGCTTTTTGCACTTTCTACTACCTTTGTAGGTACGGTTCCACCTACGGCTTTTCTTCTTCGATTGCTTTTATTTTCTAGTAAAGGTCATCATAGAGTGCCTTCTGCTTCTTTTTCTTTTAATCTTCCTCCTTTACTCGTACCGCCTGCGGACAGTGAATTGTCTGACGAGAGTTCGTCGTCTTGCCCAATCTATTGGATAGACCAATTGGCCGACTTGCCGCCACAGGTCACTGTTCCCTGTCCGCCAACACGCAAAACACCGTCGAGAGTCGCCTGATACTTTGAGATCGCCAACTTGACAATCTCAGCCGCATCCTGGTTGCCAAAGGTAATCTCGTTGCCATCGCCATTGACCCGAACTTGGAGGTGGCAGCTAGCAGATGCAGCAAGCTGCACCTGACCGTCAGAGGCCTTGTAAGTACTATTTCGGCGTTAGCTGGACCGTTGTCAAGGTGGTGTCTGGGGGCTGGAAGGACTTGCATGGACCATTCTTGGCTCTCGCCGGTGGCTTGGATGGCGTAGCAGTCCATCTCGGTGGGTGAGTTCCAGAGAGTCTCTCTCACATCGGCTGTGTAGCTCTGGCAGTTCTTGATGGCTTCGGCGACGGTGAAGAGACCGATGAAGGCGATGGCAAATTTGGCGAGCTGCATGGTAGCGGTTGGTGAGAGTTAGAATGCGAGGAACAAGCTGAACTGAGATTGACTGATGGTGAAAGCTGGATACTGACAGCCAGATATTCAGAACTGCTGATGAGGGAGGTATAAGTACCACCAGCATCAAAAAGCAAGCGGCATCTCGAACCCACCTTCTCCTCCTGTTGATGGAGTTATGGCCACCGGCGGTTTGATGAGCCGCTATGTATCCATACCGGTCGACAGACAAGGTTATAATTCTTCACCGGTTTGACGGCGGTAAGTAAACATGACGAAATTCCTCGGTCTCTTGATGTTTTCGGCCGACACACAAAGAGGTGTTCTTCTCCACACACCAGCTGATAGTTGAGAACTGGCGGAAACCATGACACCAATGATGCTCGAGGTCTTCTGAAGTCAAGAGGCTTCAAGCCTGAGAGAGAGCGCGTTTTCTCGCGGCTCAAGCTCAAGACGCAGCCAAACAGTTAGCTGGCCGCAGCTGCCATAGAGGAGTGGTCGACGGAGGACCTGGAGGAGCAGGAACAATTGTCCTGTCGCTCGTTCCTGCTCCAGCGGTTCATGTTGTCTTTGACAAGTTAATCCCACGCCGTTAATTGCTTCCAGAAACTTCCTCAGTATCTGTCCAAGAACCACCTGTCGAGTTCCAGATCGAAAGCGCAAAACACAACGACACACCTTCCCCTCTTAAATCAGACATCCGCCTGATCTTCGAGACACCAACTCCTACCTCGATCGTTCTGATGAAGCTGAACTGCCAACGTGCCACCGTGTCCCCAGCCCAGGGCCCCGTTGTCTCTGGTCTTGACACCGATTCCGCTCCCGCACCTCACTGCGAGCAATCTATTCGTTATCTCCCGGGGATGACAAAGAGTCTTCTGGCGCAATGCAATACGCATGTCTTGGTGCGGGAGGAGGCAAAAGGAAGACCGATGGCCGCCACCGTGGGAGACAACATATAGATATCAGAGACAGCATCACCCTCCTATCACCGTCCCAGGCATTGGATCGCGCCGTTTCATAACACAGCATCAGATCCTGCTGCACCCACAGATGCCGCAATCCACCAGTACCTTCCCCCAAGGCCAACCGTGGGCAACGGCACTGCAACGCGCATGGTTCTATCTGTATCACCACGCGGGAAGACCGGACGGACGCGGTCCCATATCCAGAATCCTCCCCGCAGTTTCCCTAAACCAGAAGGGGACACCTGAGACCAGATCACCTCAGATAGATACGAGTGATCATACTGGTCATACATGACACAAAGTCAGATGAGCATACGGAAGGGAGGCCATCGAGATTTCCCTCGCCCTGTTTCACCTGATTCCACCAGCTCTCGAAGAACAAGAAGAGCAAGGCATAGTCCCCAAGATCTAGTGAATCAGGCCTCTCTGATGGAGTTCAGCCACGCGCCCTGTACCCTGAAACCACCACTTCCCAGTGACTCTCATATGCAGCTGCCCTCTCAGCGTTCTGGTTTGCGTATGGTATCCTGGTCCAGAAAGAGCATCTTGTATGCGCGTGACACTTGGCACAACCAACCCGTCATTGCTCACTGTATCATTGTCACACCCTAGAGAAACATGCGGTCTCGGCAGAGTCAGACTCAAATCCGAGGAGTTCACTCCTCAAGGGGAGATTCTAGTCGGTCTTGCCCGGGATGCTGTTGCTCAAGTGGCACCATGTAGGCAGCACAGGGCCTGAAAGCACGTCAAAAAACGGCCTCAAGCCATCCGCAGTTGTTTCCGGCATTGTTGCTGTCGCGGGCGAGAGTGAGAAGCGAGACACTGCAAGTCAAGGCGGATATTCTCGATGTCTCTTGATCGCTGCAACAAGTACAAACCTGTCTCATATCTCCGCTCGCAAAAGCCTGGCCCCGGCGGCCCGGTCTGGTCAAGTGGTCAGACAAGTCATCAGCCAAGTGGTCCAGAGCGCACGTTAAGGATGAGGAAGCTCTTACTTAAGGTAACCAGGAGGAGTATCGAGGTTTTTGGGAGGCCGATCCCCTCTTTCCCAGGTGGGTTTTCTCTGCAACCAAGCAGTTTTCGTCTTGAGCTGCTGCTTCAGACTCCATCTTGACTGAGAGGGAGGGCAAGTACGACTGCCCCAGTGAACCGAACCAGGAGACCGGGTCCTGTCATCCGCTTGGCTCCATTACATTGAAGCAGACTTGAACTACCAGTCCAACCAACTTTGTACTCCTGGCTTTTCATTTCTGCGTTTGCGCAACGGCCTTACTGTTGCCGAGGTCTTTTGATTTTTGGGTATCTCGAAGTTTTGGGGAAAAACAAGACATTATACTGGCTCGCCTGGACCGTTTACGGGACGGTGAGGCCACGACGACAACACCAACAACAAACACCAACACCGCATAGGCGGTCTTTTTTGGTCGAGTCATTGTCACCAACACCAGCAAAGTCGCCTTTCCATAGTCCAAGATCACGAAGGACACCAATGACAACAACAACAACAACAACACCGCCGCCAACAATGACACTCTCTTACCCCAACCCATCCCTGTCCTCGATGGATGGCGAGGACCACCCCCGGGCATCACCCGCTTCGATATCCTCCTCGATGACAGTAACCAACACCGCCGAACAACTAGAATTTGAAGAGGAGAAGCTATCAGAGCCACCTTCAAAGAGACCAGTCATGCGTCAGGTCCTCTTAACTCTCGTGTATGTTTCCCCATCTTCAACCCCTTGCCATTTCCACTTCCTCTAAACCCGCCTCAGAATCTGCCTAGGCCTAATGTTCTCCTGCCTCGACACCTCAATCGTCTCAACCTCTCTCTACAGAATAGCAGGCGATTTCCAAAACACGCGAGACATCTCCTGGATCATCCTCTCGTATCTCCTGACGTACATGTCCTTTGCCGTGGGGTTCTCCAAGCTATCCGACATTTACGGCCGCAAAGCAATTATGCTGGCGGCATGGCTGTTGTTTACTCTCGGGTCGATCTGGTGCGGTTGGGCGGGTTCAATGACGCAGTTGATTGCGGGGAGGGCGGTTCAGGGAGTGGGAGGGTCGGGGCTGTACTCACTGGCGCAGGTTTGTCTTGTTGAGCAAGGACCGGCGAGGCCGGAGGTGGTGGGGGGGTTGGTGGGGATCACGTTGAGCGTGAGTTTTGTGCTTGGGCCGGTGATGGGAGGGGGGATAAGTGATGGGTGGTGGTGGAGGGGGGTTTTTTGGGTCAATATACCGGTTGGGGTCTTGGCCATGGTGGGAATCTTGACTCTGTGGCCGTGGGAGAGGATGGCGTTTGGGAGGAGGGAGGAGGAGTATCAACACCAGGGGGCCAAGATGGGGGGGTTCTGGCACAAGATCGCCAGGGTGGACTTTATTGGGAACACGCTGTTGGCGCTGGCGTCGATATTGCTGGTATTTGCGCTGCAGGAGGCGGGGAGGTATGTCTGGCGGTGGGATAGCCCGGTCATAATATGGTCGTTGGCTATTTCGGTGGTGAGTTTTGTGTTGTTTGGAGTGTGGGAGTGGTATTTGTATCGAGGGGGAGAAAGCGGGAAGGTGAGGATTGAGGGGATATTTCCGGTTGGGTTGGTCAAGGGGAGGGTTTATGCTTGTGTTTTGGTGTAAGTTTGTCTTTTTCCCCCTGTCTGAACTTGGTACTGATGTGAACAGCAACACGTTACTATCCGGGTTCGTCTACATCGCCCTCGTGATTAACATCCCCGAGAGGCTTCAGGTTGCATATTTTGACTCTCCGCTCTGGGCGGGGGTTCATTTGTTGCCTATGCTTGGATGTTGCGCCTTTGGAAGTTTTCTTGGGGGGTTAGTTTCCAAGAAAAGGGACCTCACCTCTCATACATTAATCATCGGCAGCTTAGTCCAAGTTCTTGGACTGGGACTAACAGTCGGGTTTGACTCCCGCGCTGGAAACAAACTTCCCCTAGGGCAATTATTGGGGTTTACGGCTGTGTATGGACTAGGAGTTGGCCTGTCTTTTGCCAGCGCTACCATCATCGCTGCTGTGGAGGCAAGAAACGAGGATTTGGCTGCTGCGCAGGGGGCCGTGGCGCAGGCGAGGGTGTTTGGAGGCGCGCTGGGGTTGGCGGTAGGGGGGATATTGATGAATCAACGCCTTAAGGGGGAGTTGAGCGGGGTGCTGAAGGGGAAGGGGTTGGAGGAGGTGCATAAGAGTTTGTATGGGATTTTGAGGCTGGGGGTCGATGATAGGAACAGGGTGGTGGAGGTTTATGTGGGCGGTTTTGGGAAGATGATGTGGGTGTTTTTGGGGGTGGCGGTTGTATCAGCTGTTGTTGCTTGTGGGACTTGGAGAGGGAAGGGAGGAGAGAAGACGGTGGTGGAGGTTATGGAAGGGCATCAGGTTGGCATTGGAGGTGGTGGGAGGAAAGAGAGAGAGATGGAATTGGAGAGTGCGAGCAGTGTCAAAAGTTTGATGGGGTGATTCTGGGGGGGGGAGAGGTTTCTTGATGTTGAAGAGGTTTTCTGCGAAATACCCTGTCTTTTGTTTGTTGAGGGGGGTTGACTGGGTGAAGCGAGATGTTTTGTTTACGTTTAACAGGCGTTTTCATTTGGCGGTGTGGGGTTGTTAGTTGGTATAGGTGTTTGAACCTTTTATGTATATCACCACGTTTTTGGAGGGGTTATATCTTTCTTTTTCTGTTGGGGGGCCATCTTTCTATTCTTTGGGGGTAGGTTAACTTTAGGTTTGGCTTTTTTGGACGTTTTATTCTTCTGACAGAGTTTTGTTGAAGTTGGGGAAGAGAGCTTTTGTTTATTAACGGGTATGTTAGTGGATATGATATTAAGTTGTGTCATTGTCTTGTCAAATTACCTTGAGAGTCAGGGCTCTAAATGCTGCTGCTGTTCTTGTTGTTGTTGTTGCTGTTGCCTGGGGTGATGCCCCTTTTTTGTATTTTCAAGATCTGCGGTTACGTGAGTTTTCTTGACTGTCTTTAGATAGCCGTAGGCGGGGGTACTAGATCAGGGTGACTGAGAGAGCAACAAAATCCAGAGAATGATGAGGGTGAACGGCTGTGGGAAGCTTTGCAACAATGAAAAAGAGGAGGTGTTGAGACATGTGGGAGCATGCTGTGCAACGTTGTCAGCCGGGCACTCTACTCACGTTTCTCCATCAAGTGAGTGTGTGTGTGAGGGAGAGAGAGAGACGCTTGTTGTTCGACCATGACTGGTGGTGTCTCATATCGAGATGAAGTGAAGGTGAATCTGATGGGTGGGATCTGCGTGGTGGAAAGCTGCCTGTGTGTGTGTGTGTGTGTTGCGTTCTGTGTATTGTGCTGTGCGACGCCGCACCTCTTGGTGTATCTGTTTACCACTTGTTGAGTAGGTAGCTGACTCGTGGACCAAAGAATCAAAAAAGGGGAGGGTGACAGAGAGGTGGGTAGCCCCCCGAAATCACCTTGACTACCTTTCCCAATATACCTACAGTTCAGAACCTGGTTGGGTATCCAACGGTGCACAATTGAGCCCCGTGTCGTGTGTCAACTACATATGTGATTGACAGTAGCTGTGTTCATATGTTGTACCTGACAGAGTGAGTGAGCGGTGCTCAGTGTATCAGCCGGTACAACCCCTCGGATTGGACAGAGCCATGTAGGTAGTTCTTGTTCTTGCGTTGTTTTTGGCTATTTACAAACATTTTGTGGGCCCTGCCTCGCTAAGGTATTTCCGCTGTCTTTTTCCTACTACCAAGTCCCCTAAAAATGCAACGCCAAGGTAGTGATATGTTGTTCAGCACATGATGGGTATTTGTATTGTTAACCATTGCCTCATGTCTCACCTCGACGTCGATTCCTTTCCTCCAACTGCTAGGGGGACAGGAGAAAGTTCGGTTCATCACTATAATTAAGGTGATGGCCGTCCTGGATAACTTCCCAGATCACCCTGGTCTCTTCTCCCGCGGATTTGTAGACCATGGGGATACACTCTATTGAAAATTGTGATTAGGTGCTGTAAAGTGCGGGAGGTGGACAAGAGAGAGGGGACAGACTGACCAAGTTCGTGAATAATGCCGCGGTGAACATGGCGATAGATCCTGGGCTTCAAACTATGCTGATACCCAGGATCGAAGGAGAGAACAACTGACGGGGAGTATACCAGTGGCGGACGATAGGGTTGCACTGGGGGCGCTTGTCCTGCAGACGCTGCTGGACAATTTGATGGAGGGTGATATTGAGGTACCACTAGAGCTTGTTGGCCCGTAGCTACCGTCGTCTGTACTGTGTATCCTTCTGGGATCGGTTGTCGATTTGTGTGTCCGTATTGCGATACGTGAACAGGCTGCCATGGAGGTGGGGGTTCCCGGGGGGACTGTTGCCGCGGTTTTGGTGCCCGAGGTGCCAAAGGAATGGGTTGCTCCAAGCGTCCCATTGTTGCGGCACTATCTGGGTAATCGTGTCCCTCCGGTGACTTTGGGGGAGTATCTCTCATATCAACATCTTGGCTTTGTGACGTGCGTCCCGTCGCATCAGGCATAGGTTCGTTATACTGCTGTTGTGGTGGCGCGGCCAATGGTGGCTTTTGGTATCAAAATGGTTTCCAGTTAGTGACTACGCCGGTCAAACAATGTCGAGTCAACACACCTCGGTGGGCTCTAAAGGCTTTGATGGATAGACATCGTTGGGGTCCATCTTGCCGTCGAGCATTTTGGGGTAAACAGATAGTATAGATGTGTGGTCAAGCGAGAGTCAATCCGTCTTCGTTTGGTTGCTCGGAACGGCGTGCAAACGGACGAACCAGGCAGGACAGATTGCGATTAGGGCTGGCAATTCGCATCTCTTTGTGGTTTCTGGGGAAGAAAGCTTAACTTGTCGACGCCCGTCTCCGATGCAGGAGCGGTCTTCCAGGTTGTGCAGTCCTGCCAGAAAGACGGCGTTGCCTGGCACGTCGTGATGGCTGATGAAAGAGAGTCGGTGGTTTGTGGCGTCCAAGGGGATTTAAAGAAGTCACTGGACGGACCTCTCAGGTTGTTGTTCGACGCTTGAAGATAGCATTGAGACTTGCAATACAGTTTAATCGGTTGAGAGTCCTAAGTTGTCTGGCCGCCCAATAGAAGCACTCGTCTGTTACATCTTGCTCAACGGTCTGTTCCATCCCTTGACAGCCGTCAAAGTTGGAAGATGAAGTCGCTAGCTCATCACCTACAGGAGCGCCATCCCACGCCATGCCCGTCACAGACCAATTCCGATCCCTAAATGCCTGACGAGGTTAATACCAGATCTTACAGGTCACATCTATAACGGGCGATAAAGCAAGTTCTCCAAAGTAAATTCTAGAGAGTTAACATTAGAAAAAAAGGCCGTATCTACCACCTTAACACCTACCCAAGCCACAATTAGGCACTCACAGATAAGTCAACTGCTAAAGCTAAGTAAGCTCACTATCCACCAAGGCCAATATATTACTTACAAATAGCTTTATTTTATTGACATTACTGCGGTATACTACATTACATATAGTACTATTCCTACTATATTTTTTATTGTTGTAATAATATTTATATATAATTATATATATAAAAATATTTTACAATTAAAAAAATTAAAGTATATAGTAAAAATATATGAGTAATTATGGTTATAAGATATTAGTAGTATATATATGGTATATAGTTAAATCTACGAAAATGCAGTTGAAAAGCTATTATCTCTACTTATATAATGGCGGGTAGGTAGTAAGTGTACTGTAAACTTGGAAATCAACTCTCTGGATTTTTATTTGGGAGAACTTGCCTTATCGTCCGTTATACACATCCATCCCATCCGGTGTCTTACACCTACAACCCGAGTAGATCTGGCTGGTCTGGCTTCAGACAGACCGTGATCAAGACACCTACCTTGTTGTATTGAGAACCACCTCAATTGAGAACACCAAAATAATCATGAAGCAACAAACTAACAGGGCAATTCATAATGTGACCATCAAATTAACGGAGGGGGGGCAAGGTCTACGCCGCAACATGATGTCCAATTTTCTTGGCATCAACCAACACCCAACAGCTCCAACCTCCAACATTATCGCGTGGTCCATCATCGACAAACAGATTAAAACCGCCCGAGTTTCTCTCTGGTTCTTGCATTGAGACATCTCCAACTAGACATCATCGCTCTAGTCAAACAATGGCTCCGTTTTCCCTCCCCGCCGACACGGCCTTCCCCGCCGACAAAGCCGCCATCCTCCCCGCGCCTCTCCCAACCCCGTCTCACGGCGCCGGCGGCAGCTTCTCAATCGCGTGCTCGACCCGCATCAACGCGCCCCCGTCAAAATGTCTTGATATCGTCCGCAGCCCGGCAGACTGTATGTCTCAATTATTCAACTTTTACAACACTCGACTGTGACGTCATGTTCTTCATTGCGAACCATCTCTTGTATTTCATGATCACAGCTTGCCTCACCTCACCATTTATTTCACTTATTCTCAATCACGTACTAACGTCTCCCCAGACCCCTCCTGGAACCCCTTCTGCCGCCTCGTCGAAATCGACTCCCAACCCTCTTCCACCACCTCCTCCCCAGACCAATTTCACCTCGGCACAGTCTTCACCTTCGACGTGCACTTCAACACCTCACCCGACTCCAAGCCATCCACCAAGTCTCAGGAGCGCGTCTCAATTTTGGAGGACATCGTCGACCCCACCAGCAAGAAGGTAATCGGGCACAGGATCGGCTGGATCCAGATCGGTCCGCAGCCCGACTGGATGCTCAAATGTGAGAGAATCCAGGAGTTTATCGAAGTTGAGGGGGCAGATGGAAAAGTGACGACAGAGTACAGAAACTGGGAGACGTTCTACGGGCTTTTGGCGGTTGTGGTCAAGTTGGCTGCGGGAGAGGGGGTCAGGAAGGGGTTTGAGGGGTGGATGGGGGGGTTGAAGAGGAAGGCGGAAGGGGGGAACTGAAAGAGCACCTTTGAGCCAGGGGCAGGGCAGGGTCAGGCCGGGCCTAACTCCTATATGC